TGTGTGTGTCGTGCCGAATATGTAAAACTGGTCAATTAGCAAGAACTCATTTAAAGTTAAGTCCTTTCTAAAAAAATTTCTTATACATTTAAAGATATATTTTTTTCATTAATGTTAATGTAAAAATTTTTTAATTTTGCACCAAAATAATCTTAGAAAACTTACCTAACCTTATTATAACAAGAACAATTTATTTTAGCCTAACCCAGCTAAATATATTTTAGATATGTTTACAATAATTTAATACTAAACAAACACAGTGAATATATTTTTATCGTTAGGTTCAGAATGATTTTGGCGAAATTATTGCATACACAAATTTTCGCTTGTCCTATATGGCAAGATGAGCGTTGCTATTTAAGCCAAGATCGCTAATTCTGCCTATTCGGCACCACACACACACACACACACACACACACACACACACACACACACACACACACACACACACACACACACATATATATATATATATATATATATATATAGGTAGTAGGTTGGTAGACAGCAACCGCCCAGGGAGGTACTACCGTCCTGCCTGGTGAGTGTAAAACTGAAGCCTGTAATTGTTTTACACGATGGTAGGATTGCTGTTGTCTTTTTTTTCTGTCTCATACACATGCAAGATTTCAGGTACGTCTTGCTACTTCTACTTACACTTAGGTCACACTACACATACATGTACAAGCATATATATACACACCCCTTTGGGTTTTCTTCTATTTTCTTTCTAGTTCTTGTTCTTGTTTATTTCCTCTTACCTCCATGGGGAAGTGGAACAGAATTCTTCCTCCGTAAGCCATGCGTGTTGTAAGAGGCGATTAAAATGCCGGGAGCAAGAGACTAGTAACCCCTTCTCCTGGATATATTACTAAATGTAAAAGGAGAAACTTTCGTTTTTCCTCTTGGGCCACTCCGCCTCGGTGGATACAGCCAGTGTGTTGAAAGAAGAAAGATATATATATATATATATATATATATATATATATATATATATATATATATATATATATATATATATATATATATATTATATATATGGACATCTAGTTTCTTTACTGACGTTTCGGATGTTTCTTCATCCATCAACAGACTCTAAAATTAAAATGTATTACAATAAACGTAAGGCACAATTTTAAAACATTTAAAATTCTGTCTGCAGTATGAACTGAGTAATTTAGTCAACATGATTTACAACGGACTTAAAATATAGCACTAACATATTTTAAAGAAAATAAGATTATGCTAAAAATTTCAGAAAACAATTGAATGATTTATGTAGGAAAAAAAATCAGACGAGAATGTTATACAAGTAGAACAATAATATAGGTTAAATTCTAGTTAGAAGTTAAATGTGAAATAAATATCAAACTATAATAATCTAAAATATAGATGTGCATCAATAAAATTACACTGGTATAGGTTAGACCTGAAGTTAACATATTTCAAATGGAACCACTTAAAACATATGATTGGCACACTTAATTAAATATTTAAATGAATAAAGTATTTTTAGAGTAATGTTATGTAAAATGTTCAGTAATACAAACCAAGCAGTCTTTAATACCGTACACATAATCAAAATTTTCAGGAAAAAAGTCTAAAGAATACATTAATGTTTCAATAGGTGAAAACTGTTATACATATAAGGCTTCCCATGCATTTATTCAGTGGTAAACTTTGGCAAATTATTAACAATGAAGAGTTGAACAGTTTTTTGTTTATATATGATCGACACCATGCCTAACCCTTCTAGGGTAGGGTAGGTGCCTGAGCCCGAGCCTTTAGCTCATAAGACTGTCATTCCCATTAGCCCCCTTGGGGCGGGGATGGCAGACCAGAGAGGCCTAGCTTGTGGCTAGGCCTGGGGACAGTTGGTCCCAAAGATGAGGAGATATTTGTGCCTCCTCCCATGGGAGACTTAGGTCTCAGACACTCCCTAAAGAGGGAGCCAAGGCCGGGCCACCACTTGGAAAAGGCCCGGGCCGGGAGAATACCGGCTAATCTTTAACTGACTAATTGTTTGTTATTAAGATCTGGCTTCAAGTTCTATGTATATAAAGTTTTCCTAATACATTTCTAAAGTGGTTAACCATGGCAGGTTATTCACAGTGAAGAAATGAACTAATTTTTCCTTGTTATTAAGCTCAGGTGTTAAGTTCTGCATATGCAAAGATTCCAACAATCTAAGTCAAGTGAATTAAAGCATTTATTCAAAATTTTAAAGTCACGAGAATTTCACGGGTGATTTAATACAAATGAATGTTCCCGAATTTCAGACTGGGAAGGGCAAGTCAGAGGAAGATCGATTCTTTGAGACACACCTCTATGCTCCCGGTGAACGGTTGGGACATATCTATATGTAGTATTTGAACATAAAAGTATAGGGAGTCTGTCTTTAAATTTAAAGACTGAATCAATAGTTAAGAATTAATAAAATTAAATCTGAAAGAAGGATGAAGTTCAAGCCATAATGCTGAAAGTTTCTAATGGTGAAACTAATATGTTCTCATTAAGGAAGTCCAATATACTTAATATCTCTGGGTACTGTGTATACTGACTTAGGGGGTTTAAACAGTTTCGTCCAAATATTTTTCATGGACTGAATAATATGTAAAGGGTAACCATTATTTTGAAAGAAATTAGTTGTTTTGTTCAATTCCTAATCAAAATTAAATCACCTCACTTCATTAGTGTTACACACGTTATAATAGTGTTACACATATTATACCAGTGTTATACACGTAGTGGAGGCAGGATCCATATATAACTTTAAGAAGATGTATGATAAGCTCACGGAGCGGGGAGAGTGGGCCTAGTAGCCACCAGTGAAGAGGCGGGACCAGGAGCTATGACTCGTCCCCTGCAACCACAACTAGGTGAATGTTACATACCACAATGCTACACACGTTATAACATTGTTATATACGTTATAACACGGTGTTACATACGTTATGACATAATATTACACACGTTATACCACAGTATTAGACACGTTACACCACAGTTTTACACACTGTGATGCGTAAAACTTTTGTATGATACACTGTGATAACGTGTGTAACACGTTACCACAGTGTTACACATGGCTATACGTTTCCCTCCCTTCACTGGTGTACCCTAATATTAGTGACGGGCTTTTGACCTACTCAATTAGAGCTATCATCCCCCCTCCTTTGATCAGATCCGGTTGCAATTTATTCCTCAGGCGCTGAGTGACCCTTAAGGGTTTAGCGCTTCACTATGAATGTAACAGTAGGATGCTGTGCATTCTGTAAGCCGTCAGATTATTACATGTTTGTACATTCATTTTGAAATCAAAATTTATGTTCGTGTTAAGCATTATCGGCATTAAGGTTTTGGTGACCTTCGCTCTCAAGCCTTATTCTGGTGACCCAGAGTCAAGAGGTGTGTCTTGATACCGGTGATTACCTCCCATTTTCCGGGCACTGTAGATAATCCTTACGGGTTTAAAGTTTCCCTGTATACTAAGAGAATCTCAAAATCGAGTGCTTATCTTGGAAAAAAAAGTACGAACTAGAGATGTAACATCTGTTGAGACCATGTCGAAATTTTTGTAAAATGCTGATGAGCTGTTGGAAATCTGAGAATGTATTATTTCTGGTTTACGTTATACAGAGAGTCAAGTAGCACAGTGTGTGTGTGTTTTCTGCAACAGTATACTTTTGCCATCTGAAAGAAAAAATCCTCCTGTGGTTTGGTAAAAGTGTTTCCAAGTCCTCCAGTCGTCTAGGAAAAGTGTTTCCAAGTCCTCCAGTTGCTTAGGAAGTGTTCCCAAGTCCTCCAGTGGTCTGATAAAAGTGTTCCCAAGTCCTCCAGTGGTCTGATAAAAGTATTCCCAAGTCCTCCAGTGGTCTGATAAAAGTGTTCCCAAGTCCTCTAGTGGTTTGATAAAAGTGTTCCCAAGCCCTTCAGGTAAATAACGCAACACCCTGTGACAGTTACAAAAACAGTGTATTAATAAGTGTGGAGTGACATTTAGAGCGTATCCTGTTACGTGGTTAAAGTTTATAGTTATGGATTGTTTGCGTGCATGCGTGCGTGCATGTTTGTGTACATAATGATAATTACATATGTATGCTGTGTGTGCTTTTCACATCCTCAGACTTCATAGACAGGATTCGAACCTTTCAGGCATAACACCTGGTTGGGTACCACATCTTACCGGCTTCCACACCATAAGCGAAGATTTGACAGTATTTCTTCTAAAATATTATATACTGTAATTATCGATGAATTAACAGTGGTGTTAGGCCAAGAAGCATTCAGAAAATTAAATTTAATGTTAGCAGAAATGCTGTCCATTATTCGTATGGTCGAGATGTTACGATACTACTCAACTTGGTAATATGTCTAACAGAGGCTCGAGTCTAGACTGAGCCAGTTGGAGTCAGAAGATATAATGAAGTGTTAGATGTGTGTGTGTGTGTGTGTGTGTGTGTGTGTGTGTGTGTGTGTGTGTGGCCCTCTCTTTCCTCTCTCTCTCTCTCTCTCTCTCTCTCTCTCTCTCTCTCTCTCTCTCTCTCTCTCTCTCATTTCATGTTTCATTGAAAGAAGAATTTAGCATCAAACACAGTATTCTTAAAAAAAATATCGATTCTGTAATTATTTTTACTATTCGGAGAGTCGGAGAGATTGGTAAGAGAGCTGAAGGAGCACAAACATTATTGTTCACGACGCTGCAAGTTGTATGAACCCTGGTTCCAGGAATCTGGTGGCCTGATGGTATCTTAGATGCTACCCAACCTGCCCACGGTGCTGAGAAAGAAATATACCAAGCAAAATACGAACGCAGGCGGAGTCGTTCAACATTCGACAATCATATAAAAAGTTTGGAGAGAGAGAGAGAGGAGGAGGGGGAGGGGGTTTAGTGAACGAGCGGCAGCTTGATAATACTTACGGTACTTGCTGGAAGGGCGAGGTTATCGAAGTACACACACGGTATATGTAGACGAACGATGTAATGAAGGGATACTTACGACAGTCGTAGAAGGTGGGGCAGCAAGTGAAGGCTCGGTAGCGGGGCCGGCAGCCTTCTACCGGCAAGAGACACTTAGGTGCCACACAACGACGGTTGCCATGTATACAGAAGCAGTAGGAGCATTCATCTGGCGACACCATGGCCGAACCTTCGGCGAACACGGCCCCCTCGGCCACACACCCTGACGGAACCGCCAGGGAGGAGGAAGCCACTTAGTGGAGAGTGATAGTGGAGTCATGAAGGGTCACTGTTGGACGTGTTGGTTGTAGGGAAGGTGGGAGGCTGGTGCAGTCGCTGTGGACGTACTGTTGTCAGCATGCAAGCAACTAGCTATTTGGTTCTAGGGATGTGGCACTGGGATCATGCTGGGTCAGTGGAACAAGTTATTGGAGTCATGCAGGGTTAGTAAGTCATGCTATTGTATTCGTGCAGGATCCTTAGGACTTTATGAAGTCATGCAGGGTTAGTAAGTCATGCTATTGTATTCGTGCAGGGTCATTAGGACTTTATGAAGTCATGCAGGGCTGCCGGGACATGCAATAGGGATCAGGCACTCAATGGATCATGGTAATAGGATCATATGGAGTCAGTGAAAGGTGCTTGTTGAGTTCTTCAGTGACTGAAAGACCCGTTATTTAGTATATATCACCATGAGCTGTTGTAAATGGATCGTTGTATGACAGCAGATGGTGGAAGCTTGTGAATAATACTATTAGTTCTCTGAGCGTATATTGTTATTGTTATATTTCATGGAGCGTGAAACCCGTATGAGACATTCAAAGCAAGGAATGCTGGAGACTAATCGCGGCCTATTTTCGATAAGTCAGGTTGTTGGTGGCTAGAGATTGAAACTGATATGATTGCTTATGTTGAGCGGCGTGTTGTGGTCAGTGGCTAGTGTTGCGAATATACAAGAGTTTGTAACTGTAAAAAAGGCAGGTACCACCTTTCTTGTTTTATTGTTGTGTTTAAAAATTGAAACATTAATTGCTTTGTTATGTGCCTCAGTGACATCGATAATATCAACCTGTACTAACACCATTGCTGGTTTTCTGCTTTTATTACAATAATCAGATTTCTCCGCAAACGCTATTTAAGTTAGGTTAACATTAACTAACCATGTTTAACCAATTATAACATATCAGCATCAATAAATCTTAAAATACATGAAGGCAAGACTGTTTCGGTGAGTGAATATAGACACGCAACCAACTAGGAGACTGTGGAAATAGACATTGTATAACAAAACCAGTGTTCTGTGTCACATTCACTGTTTCCATAGCAAAAGGAAATATATGGCATTTACATAGGAAAATGAGTTGGATAATACATATGGTTTTCCTAATGGCAAATTTTTTTTATCGACTCTAACTTAGTTTATCTTATGTGATGGTAAATATGTCTATAAAGTGAGTTACAACATAAGTTTAGCCTATACAAAATTGTTTTGTATTAATGTTGTAAAAATGAGCCGTTGTTTGCACTGGCGAAAAACAGTACTAAAGATCATCACGGACAAGTGTCATTGTGCTTCCAGTACCTGCAATAAATAAGCAGGTTGTCCTTAACCTTGGTTTTATTATATCGCAAATTATTTAGTTCCGGGAAGTGGTTCAGTAAAAAATGCAATATGACATTTGAACGTGATCCAACTCCGAATTGTCGCGTTCTCAGACTAAACAGGGAGCAACAGTCTTGAGGAGAATCTGCCCGCCGAATTGATCCCAAACTTATTATATATATATATATATATATATATATATATATATATATATATATATATATATATATATATATATATATATATATATATACATATATATATATATATATATATATATATATATATATATATATATATATATATATATATATATATATATATATACATACATATATATATATATATATATATATATATATATATATATATATATATATATATATATATATATATATATATATATATATATATATACATATATATATATATATATATATATGCATGCAAATAAGATCACAATTGCTTTCGTGATTTCTCACATTATCAAGGAACTATAAAAATAAAAGACTAACAGGAAGGCATATAAGGACGAGACTGCACCTCGTAATATATATTAGGAGAGCATACAGTTTAACGAGGATGAAAGTCTCCATTAAAATCATGAATACATTTTTTACGAGTACATATGTACAAAAGAACGTGTTTGGCAAAAAATATTGCTCAGTGTAGCGTTCAAAACAAACTTGACGTGCAATTAAACTGACGATCATTATGTACAAATAATTTTTGTGTCATTTTTGAAACAAGCCGACAAATTATTAGCTCCGTTAATAATAGATTAATTACCAAGTATAGCAAAAACATTTTTAAAACACTGTGACAGTACCTTTTTAGTGCTTTCTATACTGTATTAATAGTAAGAACTGCTGTAAATTGTGGCCAAGGAGTATAATGTATCATTTCCATTTTTCTTAGCGGTGACACTCACACCTTTCACACTTATTACTGAAGGTTAACATACAGTGTTAACACGCACAGTAAAACTTTTGTCTATCTCTACTTGCATCGTCCCAGGTTACTATCGATATTGATTTCCGTGGCAACAAACCAAGAATTTTGAATTTATTATATCCAAGAATATGATAATTTACATCTTACTCAATATTTCCATTGCTTTCTTAAATATTCTTGCCATTTGTTATTGAGATATCATGGTTAGAGAGACTCAGATTAGGGTTATAAGTTATCAAGACAAAGAAGAATACACATTTGCCATGTTATATTGCACGTGATGCAGTTTCATCAGGTACTCACATGTTACTCCAGTATCACTCCACATGTGAAAATACTTTAACATTACTCCAGTACCACCGTTCAAGATAGTCGCATACATTACTTGAGGATCGGATTCACTCTTTGCTGACTTTGTTGAATAATTCTTAGTTAAATATATATGTGCCTGCAACAATGATGTTGTTTCGAAATTTGTGTATAAGCTTAGGCCAATGTTCTTGCGTTGAATGATCCACCCGAGTTAGCACACCACACAGTGTAAAATAACTGAAGAAGACTTCACCACAAAACAAGGTGGCGTCGGTTTTATGTCGACAAGTTTATCATGGTATGTGTTGCCTTACAAAATCCTGTTTTGGTTCTTATAAGATGACAGAAACACCAGAAACTTTGAACCCATGGCCCTTCAGTTTCAGAGGTGACTAAAGATTCTATTAGTGATCATCACGATACTGCTCATGTGCCCGTTGACATTCCCTGCAACTCAGGGGAAATTTAATAATGTGGTGACAGTATTGGTACATCCAAGGTTGTTTCTCTCCACCAAACTGATCATCGTAAAGTCTCATATTTCTTGAAATAAATCATCAGAACTCATATATAATGTAAATATAAGTAGCGAAAAATTAACTAATGCCTACAAGCATATAATTTAAAATACAGTGAATGCGGAAAACATTTGGTAAGAGTTCTTATAAAAATCGTTATATTTTTTATTTTTTGACACCTATATTATTTTTACCACGTTTTCATCGTTATTTAGGCTCGTCTATATTTATATTTGTTCTTTACTGCCGATAGTTCTATCGTTCGTACAATGACAGTTTAATCTCCCGTACAATTATTATAATCATGGGGGAGCGCTAAACCCGTAAGATTATACAGCGCATGTAGGGGGGTGGATGGAAGGTATTCAGGCTCAATTCAGGGAACTGGAGCACAGATCCAATTCCCTAGATCAAGTGCCCCTCGCCAGCGTCAAGGAACCTCCCTTGAGGGGATCTCCCGTACAAGAATACTGGCTCCAGCGTTCGTACATTGACAGTGGCTCCATCGTTCGTAAACGAACGATTGTTCCATCGTTTTCACAATGACAATAGTTCCATCGTTTACAACTTTTATTGATACATTTATTTATTCGCCATTATTATTATTATTATTATTATTATTATTATTATTATTATTATTATTTTGTTCAAATGTAATGTATATTCTCTAGTTTTGGAGATATCTCAAACCGGAAATGTGAAGGTAACTAGTAACAGTGGGGTAACTAGTAACAGGTAGTAGTGGTATTTTTTTAGTGCGACCTTTAAATGCGCCTCCCAGCTGCTGCTCAGTTAAAGTACTACTTTTCTAAAATTCTATAATTGAACATTATAACATTTTAACTTGTACGTTCCGCAGAATTGGCCTCTTATTTCTCCTTAAACTCCTTTCGATCTTCCTAACTTCAGTAAGATAGTGCACAGTTATTAATTACAGTCGATGGTTCACATCTATGAAGCAGATTATCTACGTTTGTCCGGCGAAAACTCACAAACTTATTTGTTATTGCTCCAAAGCTATTTAGGGTTTTGTGGACGACCAGTGTCTGTCTAAAAACATAAAAAAATGATACATTTATGTAGTTACTAATTGCCTTTAACTAAAAAAACACCAGCGCTGACAATGTGAGATTTACCCAGAGAGTTTTATATTTCTCGCACGCATAAGATCGTAATAGAAGAAAATTAGAAAAAAACCACACGAGGTATCCGCTGGAGGGGAGTACCTAACAAGGAATCTGTTTTTTTTTTTCTATAACTGTATACAGCGTATGTGAACGTACTTCTTTTCTTTTGTACCAGTGTAGTGTTAGTGTGAATAGTGTAGGTGTATACCTGATGCAGCAGTTCTAGTGTCATGTGGTGTAAGTGTAGACTTGTTGCAACAATTGAGGTTTACGTTCACATGGGTAACCCAAGTAGGACATGAGGGCGCGTCCCTACTCTCCACCATATCAGTCATCGATGAAATCGCTCTATGATAATATAATTTTAAGACATGCAGTTTTTCATTTAAAATTAGATGTACATGTATTTGTTTAAGTCAAGGTTGCCATAATGTAAGCTTTGTCTCAGAATTATTTTTAAGTTGTATTAGAAAGCTTATCTATTTATTTTAATTATCTTTACAGGGTGCTCTTTTATTTACATTATGTCTGCTGCATGTAGTGCACGAATTGTTTAGGGAAGAAGGGAAGGTGCGGGACTAAGGTGGTGCAGGTGCAAGCGGGGAAAAGTTAAGCGAATGGGTTGTAGAGGTATTATTCTTTATTAAATGTTTAGGATATCTGTTCACCATTTCACTATTCAGGATCTCTGCCAGACATTATAATATATATATATATATTTTATATATATATATATATATATATATATATATATATATATATATATAAATATATATATATATATATATATATATATATATATATATATATATATATATATATATATATATATATATTAATATATATATATATTATATATATATATATAATATATATATATATATATATAATAATATTTTATATATATTATATATATATAATATATATATATATATATATATATAAGAACATAAGAACATAAGAACGAAGGAACACTGCAGAAGGCCTACTGGCCCATGCGAGGCAGGTCCAAGTCCCTACCGGCTTAAGCCAATGCACCCAACCTAGTCAGGTCAGGTCACATTGACTTAAGGGAGGAACACGGCAACCGACCTGTTAGCACAAGCTATCAGGTCCAACTCACACCCACCCACATCTACTCATGTATTTATCCAACCTATTTTTAAAGCTACACAACGTTCTGGCCTCTATAACGGTACTTGGGAGTTTGTTCCACTCATCCACAACTCTATTACCAAACCAGTACTTTCCTATATCCCTCCTGAATCTGAATTTTTCCAACTTAAAACCATTGCTGCGAGTCCTGTCTAGGCTAGATATTTTCAGCACACTATTTACATCCCCTTTATTTATTTCCTGTCTTCACTTATAAACCTCAATCATATAACCCTCATTCTACGTCTTTCTAGAGAGTGCAGTTTCAGGGCCCTTAGTCTATCCTCATAGGGAAGGTTTCTGATACATGGGATCATCTTTGTCATCCTCCTTTGTACATTTTCCAGAGAATTTATATCCATTCTGTAATACGGTGACCAAAACTGTGCAGCATAATCTAAATGAGGCCTAACCAAGGATGTATAGAGTTGAAGAACAACCTGAGGACTCCTATTATTTATGCTTCTTGATATGAAGCCAAGGATTCTATTAGCTTTATTGCGAACACTTATGCACTGTTGTCTTGGTTTCAGATTACTGCTAACCAGAACTCCTAAATCTTTTTCGCAATCCGTAATATTAAGATCTACATTATTTAGTTTATATGTGGCATGGTTATTGTCCTGTCCAACATTTAGAACTTTGCATTTGTCTATATTAAACTGCATCTGCCACTTCTCCGACCACTGCATCAGTCTATTCAAATCCTCCTGGAGTGCTCGAATGTCCTCGTCAGAATGAATTCGACGGCCTATTTTGGTGTCATCGGCAAACTTGCCGATGTCGCTCTTTATGCCCTCATCTATGTCGTTTATGTAGATTGTGAACAGCAGGGGGCCCAACACTGACCCCTGTGGAACACCGCTCGTGACGCTTCCCCACTCTGATTTCTCCCCATTTATGCAAACTCTCTGCTGCCTATTTGTCAACCATGCCTCTATCCAGGAAAAAATTTCTCCTCCTATTCCATGTGCTTTAATTTTCCTCAATAGTCTCTGATGTGGGACCCTGTCAAAAGCCTTACTGAAGTCCATATACACAATATCATATTCATTACCATGATCTACCTCCTCAAATACCTTAGTGAAAAAAGTTAATAAATTCGTAAGGCAGGAACGCCCCTTTGTAAAACCATGCTGAGATTCGTTGATTAATATATATATATATATATATATATATATATATATATATATATATATATATATAATATATATATATATATATATATATATATATATATATATATATATGCAATAAGATCACAGTAAACAGGTGATTTCCGAATATGCAAAACAACCACTCTGAAAGAATAGAGAAATTCCAAGCGCTTTCGTGACTACTCACATTATCAAGGAACTATGATAATGTGAGTAGTCAAGAAAGCGCTTGGAATTTCTCTATTCTTTCAGAGTGGTTGTTTTGCATATATATATATATATATATATATATATATATATATATATATATTATATATATATATATATATATATATATATATATATATATATATATATATATATATATATATATATATATATGTTGTTAGGTAAGACACATATGCAACAGTTAGGTATCTTTATTACGAAACGTTTCGCCTACATAGTAGGCTTCTTCAGTCGAGTACAGAAAAGTTGATAGAAGCAGAAGAGACTTGAAGACGATGTATCAGTCCATCACCCTTAAAGTTTTGAGGTGGTCAGTCCCTCAGTTTGGAGAAGAGCATTGTTCTGAAGTCTGAAACAATATGAAGTTGAAGTGACAGGATGGAACCTTATGTAGCGCCAGGAGGTGAGACGTAGGTCACTAGTAGAACGCAGATGTTGTGAGGTCAGGTCCCTCTCAAATCCAGCCGTTCTCACTAGACTGATTAC